TATAGTTATTGATCTTGCAACTTAAATTACATTAAATTACAATTAAGCTTTCAAGCAATGCGGCTGACAGTAAATTCCTGTAAGAAAAGCTAGCAAATTTAATGCACAGAGGCACAAAGCATCAAAACTGTATCCAAAACCAAGAGGATTACATGTAAACAAGAGTGCAGTATTCAAACTTGTGTATCATACAGAGACATACCGGCTGGAAAATCTTTATTTTCTTTTTCCCACTAGGATTGGTAGCCTTCTCGATCCTGCCCTTGATACCCAGGTCATCAGAAGCTTTCTCCTCTGTGGTGGCTGCAACAGTGCTAGATGGTGTAGCAAGACCGGTCTCACTTTTACGAAGGCCAGCTACTGGCCGTTTGCCATTCTCTGCAGCTGCTGTGGAAGAACCAGTCTTGGAAACCTGTCCCTTCTGTGTGTAGCAGTTTGGACAGACATAGTCCTCTCCGTTTCTCTCCATCAGTCGGCCACGTGCCTCAGAGATGCCAACGCAGTCGCCATGAAACCACTCCTCACAGCGATCACAGCAGATCATAAACCTATGCACAAGGATTTAAATAATGACCAAACACCCTCAATAATCATTAAACCCACAAGAGATATGATAGAACTTCTGCTGACAAAAATAAAAAGCAAGCAATGGACAATTTCTGCTTTGAACATAAACACTTGCCATGATTCTTGAATCGTGCCTCATGAGGACAGTGCAACATTAACCAAATGTTGAATTAACAATTATGACAAAGATTAGGAATGTACCAATAGGGAATTGTGTAATCGAAACCAATAATTTGTCAAAATACTCAATTGCACATTTTGACTCTTTCATCTTAGGCTTATAACACTTTCTAGCTAATTACTGAAAACCTACGAGCTTAGAATCTGAATGCTCACTGATTATGAAATACAGTAAAATCAGTAAAAACAATGCAATTCAAAAAACATAGATCATTGGAAATGTTTGTATACTAGAACGCCACACGCATATGTGCTTCACTCACACAGAGCTATATCTACTTTGTGAAAACTCACAGATGCACAAGTACATCAAATAATAAAATAAATGTCGCTGTTGTCATTCACAATTATGATTCATGATTTTTAGAAAATGGCAGTTACTGCAGATGATTCAGATTAAATTGAGCCCAAACACAATGTAACATGTCACGAATCTTAAAATAATTATACAGCAACATCATACAGCTTAAAAAAAAACTGTATCCTTCTGGATCACACTTACAGACTCACATACACACTGCCATATGCATACCGCGTTCTGTGAATCTAAAGTGTCATTCATCTAGCTCATACCATATAAGGTTTTATAATGCAAAACTGCAAAGTACAGTGTAATTTTAAGATGTATATGATAGCGTTCACAAGACCAAATTGTTTTCAACAGTGTTTACCAGACAGGTTGTCAGGTATGCCGTGAAAAATTATCACAACTTCCCATCTCTATTTTATTTTAATATTATCATTATCCCTATGTCCGTTTGTGAGTTTACAAATATTTAACCAATGAAAAACATTCAAAAGAGCTTGTGACTCCACTGGATCCTCAAACTGTCAGTTAAAACCTTGTAACTCGTTTGCAATGCAATGGTAAATAAATAACTGATGTTTGAATAAGTACAGTGTTTTCTTTACTCAAGAAACACTATATCTATAAAGGCTAGAGGTTATCATTTGCAGTCTAGTTGTAGCCAATATGTGACCCCGGACCACAAAACCAAAAAATGTATACATCATCTGAAAGCTGAATAAATAAGCTTTCCATTGATGTATGGTTTGTTAGGATAGGACAATATTTGAAAATCTGGAATCTGAGGGTGCAAAAAAAATAAAAAAATAAATAAATAAATTGTATATATATATATATATTTATATAAAGTTATCCAAATGAAGTCCTTAGCAATGCATATTACTAACCAAAAATTAAGTTGATACATTTACAAAATATCTTCATGGAACATGATCTTTACTTAATATCCTAATGATTTTTGGAATAAAAGAAAAATCAATAATTCTGACCTATACAATGTATTGTTGGCTATTGCTACAAAATATACCCCAGCGACTTAAGACTGGTTTTGTGGTCCAGGGTCACATATTTTTGTACGTTTTAAATATCCTGTGCATAGCGGTTCATCTTTTTTATATCATGAGATTTTGGCCAAATGTATTAAACAACTAATTCTAAGCTCCCATATAGCTACAATAAACGTTATAAACTGTAAGTTGATGAAAACTTAATGCATAGCATTAATCCATAATAGCTGCACTTAGTGCATCAGATGCGGCCATTCTAATGACAGACAAAACGCATACCTCCGACATTCGATGATGATTTTCATAAAATGTTAAGTGCAAGTGTTCAGTATATAAAGCTTTAATAACAATTTTGTTATTATTATTATTATTATTATTATTATTTATTTATATATATATATTTATATATATACACACACACACACACACACACACACACACATCTTTTCCCCCCTTTCTTTTTTGCTATATTTCAGTGCTTAGTGGTGTGCCGTGGGATTTTTTTTTTTTACTCATCAAGACAAAAAAGTTTAATAAACACTGTTCTAGCACACAATTTATATATAGATTCCTCATGGGCCTTAAGTCAATAAAACTCTTAAGTCTCATGATTTGGTTTAAAATACTCCAGGAGATACATGTGCACATACAGGGTATAAGAACACTTCAGTTTAGTGCCTTAGAGTTTTCGCTCTTCTGCTCATGCCACTTATAGAAGAACTTACTTTTAAAACATACTTTACTGAAATTAAACATCTATAAACTCACTTTAACATTTTAATTGTCTGTATAATAACTTATGTAAGTGCTAAATACATTATAATAGTAATAATACATTTATTACATAACATACATATTGTTTACATACTTGTAAGCATGTAATAATTATGACAACATAAAGCACTGACAAATAAGCCTGGTGTAAACATTAATATGAAAGTCAGTAACAAATCACACAAACTAAAGTAGATTGCAGAAATATAAAAACAAAAAGCTGTTGCTTTACCACACTACTTTAGATAATTCAAAGTCACTGTAATAAACATATGTAAACATGTGGACTGCACTAAACACTGTCTGTTAACTTCAGACCAGTGATTCGCGCCCCCCTTTAATCCTATAAAAAAATCTGGCTCACCCCCTTTTCCGAATCCCATCCCACCTCAGACTACCAAATAATTTCACTATTCACATTATGAAAAATTAATGCTTTTTTAATTTAAAATACCTACAGGGAAAAAAAAACACTTGCATCACTTGAAACATTGAAAAATAGCATAGAGAGAATAACTGTTATTATTATTATTCTCTTTGTTATTTATTTTTTGTGGGTTTCATGCTGTCCGCTAATGCATAGGACACACACAGGCTTTCCTCCTCACCAACGACATTAAACACCGTGTCTACACCGGACGCGAGCGGCAAAATACAGTAGAACCACTGATAATAGAGAAGTCATTATATATAGATCAGTGAGTAGAAACCATTTTAATCAGTGACGCTGTGTACACTGGATGTGGCGTGACACGACATAACAAAACCCGACATTAAACTGATGCCTTGTTCTATTTCTGATGTACTGACACAAAGTTAAAATGATTTGCAACGGTCACTTTGTCGCGTCCAGTGTAGAGTTGTTGAGGCACGACGCTACAACTGTAGCGTCCGGTATAGACACGGTGAGTGAAGCCAAGAACAAGATATGCCTCGTCATATTTTCTACACTTAGCTTTTAAATAACCAGCACCTGCCTGGGTCTGTGCGACTTCATCTATGGCTTCTTAGTAGGGCTGCACGATTAATCGCATGCGATATTTAACGCGCATCTTGTCAGAAATCGTGCAGCCCTACTTCCTAGTCGGGCTACCAAAATGTATCACCACTCTGCCCGACGGGCTATCTTAAATACAGATCTCCCGCGGGTCCTTAAAAACTCCTAAAGTGAGTTGTATCAAACTTAAGGCCATAAAAAGTTTTAAATATGTTAAATGGTATAAGAAATGTCTTAATTATAATTTCAAGAGGTCTTACAGGTGGGGACGGAAAGACAGGAGTCGCGATACGACTGGATTAAACTTCAAAAGGCAATGATGTCATTGAATAAATATGAGCGCTGCACGTGTTAAGTCAAAACGCGGCGTGGATGTCTTTATTTGAATGTATATGAAGGCAACCGACTGTCCTCAGAAACGTGTCGTTGGCATTTTTATTTCATTTTACCTATAATTCCTGAGAAAGCAGCGTTTATGAGCGCGGAGCTGCTTTGTGTACAGTCGTTACCGGGGAAACCGCAATATTTCAGCGCTCCTAAAGCAGCACCTCGTGGCAGAGAATGAATTTGCATTTCCAATAAGCCTTTATTTGTGATTATGGTCAGATCAATGCAAATAGCAACTCTTGTTTTTACGCAGCAAACACAGAGTTGTAAATGAGAAAGAAGTTAATGGGCCTTCTACAAATCTAAACAATTAAGACAGTAATATTTACACGTTTTAAATTGACAGTTTATATGCTTGATTTATCCCTTTTCATAAAAATGGTCTAAAGGCTGAAATGCTGTTGCTCCCATTCTAAATTACGTCATTTGGCCGTTTACCGTTTTATTTCTGTTCTTTTTCTGCTGATGGCCCGCGGTCGACTTGAAGCAGCGCTGCTTAGACCGATCGGTGTGTGTCATCAAAGTACTGCGAGAGCTATAAGAGAGCGGACGTCTCATGCTTTCTCTCGCCGTACTTTGATGTCATACACCGATCGATCTGAAGTCGAACACACCTCTTTACTCTTGCGTGTCACGTGACCCAGTGTAATCGCAGCCTCTGCGATTGAAAAATTGTGTTTTTTCATATCGCGATATTATCGCAAATGCAATTAATCATTCAGCCCTAATTAAAAATGTTATTTTATAGTATTTTATAATGTATAACATAATTCTTGTATGTGTATAAACCATGTAATATTTCAAAAACTACATAATCATTTTAAAAAAGCATTCTATAAATTAAATATTTATATAAAATCTTATGTTTGATTAAAACTGCAGCATATGCATTATTTATGTTGAATCTACATGCATCAATAATTTAATTCTCCCAGTATTCATCAAATAACAAATCAGCCAACAACATCTTGTCCAAAGACACATACCTTTTGTTGTGTTTCTGCCTGCAGATGCAGTAAAGTGCATTTGGGTCATAACCATCACTGTCAGACTCACTGGACGAAGACTCTTCATCATCATCATCATCATCCTCCTCCTCCTCCTCTTCTTTCTTCTCGTTGCGGAGCTTCACTCCTACTTTGGGTTTAGTGTCTCTTTTGGAGTCTTTACTGACTGCTCTAGTAGGACGTCTATTTATGGACTCGTTTGAGGTCTTCTCTTTGTTCTTATCACAGTCCTCCTCACCTTCCTCGTCTTTCATCACCTCATCCTTCGCTTGTTCTTCTTTTGCTTCAACATCCTTTCCATCTCCAGCACTACCCGCAGTCTCAACATTTTCTTGCGTCTCTGTCGTTACCTCAATGGTGGCCTTTTCTTCGTTTTCAGAGCTGCCATCGTCACTCACCGAGCCAGCTTTAGGCTTCACTGCACTCCTCGTCCTTCCCCGACCCCTTTTCTTTTTCTCTGGTGAGGCCACTTTCTGTTCCTCTATTTTAGCATCTGCATTTCCATCAAAGCTGGCTTCGGAGGCCGTTTCGGCATCGGTTGGGGTCTGGGATGGAGGATCTCCTCCCTCAAGTCGTGAGGGACAACTTTTCCTGCCAGTTCCTCTTCCTCGCTTCACAGTGACCAGAAACTCTTCCAGTTTGTCTGTGCGTTTCGCCTGCCGGCCGCTGCGACGCACTGGGGCGCCCTTGCCCTCTGGGGTCTCCACTGCCATTTCTCCAGGGATTTCCCTTTTAGCAATGGTAGTCCGACGAAAGCCCCAAGTCTTCTTAAACTCACGTGAGGGCTTTGCAGAATTGTCAAGGTCCTCTACTTTGTCTTCACTAACATCACCTTGGTCTTTTTGATCTTTGACTTCTCCTGAGACCGATGTTGGTTCTGTGTGTGAGACATAGCAAAATTATAGTTCAATTCAACAATAAATGTTTAATTATCAGCATGCTGCAGCTATGCGATTTGGGTGACAATTAAAACTGTGATACGTGCTTTCAAGAAAAATCAATGAAAACATGGATGAAATTTAATTGATATGGTGACACCACATTCTGACAAAAAAAAAAAAGATTGTTAAAAAAAGCCATTTAATATTTCCCAGTGCATGCCCAGAATAGATTAAGAGACTCTTAAATCTCAGTGATTACATCCTGTTTCAGTAATTTCTCAATCTGAAACCCTGATTGGAGTAAATCCCACGGCTCTCTTGTACAGGAGTGCATGTGGTGGAGTGGGCCGTGGGTACCTTGTGAGCTGGTATCCACAGGATCCTGGCTGGGCTCAGGCTCAGGGGCTTGAGCCAGCTCAGAGCTCACACTCTCCTCCATAGCAGAGAGACACTATTTTTCAAAAAGTATATCTATAATTAAGAAAAAAGACAGATTTAATAGAGAGCACAACTCCCAAATATTTACTACAAGTGTTCTCAGCTGAAGTCATGTGGCTTCCCAGCAGAAGGTGCCAGTGTGTCTTTTTTTCTTATGGGTCTATCATGCATTTAGTAAATTGTGTCTACAGGGCATATAAAAAGGATGATTCAGACACTTAGAAGTGCTCTATCCCTGATCCATTGCATCCAGAGTGGTGTGTCAAATCAAAATCCACTATATAATTTAAGGTTGTGTGAAAGATTACTTAAACTGTTTAGAATATAAATGAATTATTACATGGCTACACATTGCTTGTGCTCAAGATGCACACTGGACTCCTCAAAACTAGCCTAAAGCCCTGTTTCCACCAAAGGAACTTTCCCCAGGAACTAGGGACTTTGGGCCGGTACTAGGGATGTAACGATATGAAAATTTCATATCACGGTTATAGTGACCAAACTTGTGAGCGGCAGCCGCGTTGATTTCAACCAATCAGTGAACATTTAACTGAACTGCCTATAAAGAATGAGAATGTGACGTAACGCCGCGTTGAGTTCTGGGAAACTGCTTTGTTTATCCGCCATACTTGCAGGATAGCGCTGCCTTTCCGCTATTGGGTTTAGGGCAGTATTTGATTGTTTGTCGTGATTGTGAAAAATGTCAACAGTGTATGTCATTCATACTGCATCGATAATTGCAATAGTAACTCAGATCATCGTTCTGAGAGAAAACTGGACAATGCAATATGTTTTTTCGCTTTTTCTATGTGTAAAAACACCAAGGGAAGGAGGTCGCGGAGAAGACGCCGAATAGTAAATCTGTTAATGTCACTGATTAAACCCACTGACTCTCACTCAATAAAAGAATCACATTGCTGTGTGTTTTTGAAAGTTTTGATTTGGTTGGTTTAATAGTTAACATTACCTTCTTTGCGACCATGACTCTCACTAGGCTTGTGGATTAGCAGAACTTGAACAGGGGACTTTCTAAAATGCTTAA